AACACCCATGTCACACCCAACACCCATGTCACACCCAACACCTACGTCACACCCAACACCCATGTCACACCCATCAATTTTTTCAACAAATTTTACAGGCACAAAAACAAAGAACTCGGGCAATGGTCTTCCTTGAGAAAATATTTAAGAAAGTGGATTGTATCATCACCCCAGGTATGGCAGTCATGATGGCTGGATGTTTAATTGTTAATTACATAATTTAATTGTTCATGGCTTAAACATCCTGTACAGGTCTTGGAATGAAAGTTCCTGTGATTGCTAAAGATGCTCTTAAACATGGAGAAGCAAACACAATGATGATGGGTAAAATGATGAGGTAAATAGGATGGATGATCCATCACAGCATGCAGTCCCTTTTCTCTCCTTTGCCTTCTCCCTCTCCCCCACATCATACCATCAGCACACCACACACAACAGTTAATGCAGTCCCTTCCCTCTCCTTCTCCCTCTCCCCCATGGGAGAGTAGATGCAGTCCCTCTTATGCAAAGGGTAACCCACAGATTGGGCACATCACATTGTTGGCACCTGTATGCCCACAAGATGAAGCCTTTCTATGCCCAGACCTATACTCTAAGCCAAACATCAATTTTGTCAGGCTGTATGCAGGCTAGGTATAGTGGTCTTAGGTGACCCACATAGACATGGGTTAATGCTGCAAAGGGTGTTGGTATAAGCAAGTGTCATTATATTTCAGGTTTATGTCATTGGGAAACCTAACAGGCATTCCTGGTATGACGTTCCCTGTTGGATATGACGTCAATGACCTTCCCATCAGCCTTCAGGTGATGAGTGGATGGTGGCAAGAACACATGATGTTGAGAGTTGCAAACACATGTGAAGGGTTAGTTGAGCACCAAAAACCTCAGGTTTACTATGATATAATGCGGGAAAAAAAGATGGATGATAAATGACACTCGTGGAATTAGATTGGAGATAACACGAAGAAATGGATGGGAGATAACTGACCCTCGTAGAATTAGATTGGTGATAACTGATTCACATAGAAATAGATGGGAGATAACTGACCCTTGTAGAATTAGATTGGTGATAACTGATTCACATAGA